TCTGTATTCGCAAAAAGAAAAGGAGTACTTGTGGCACCTTAGCGACTAACCAATTTATTTGAGCATGAGCTTTCGTGAGCTACAGCTCACTTCATCGGATGCATACTGTGGAAACTGCAGAAGACAGTATATACGCAAAGATCATGAAACAATACCTCCTCCCACCCCACTCTCGTGCTAGTAATAGCTTATCTAAAGTGATCACTCTCCTTACAATGTGTATGATAATCAAGTTGGGCCATTTCCAGCACAAATCCAGGTTTTCTCACCCTCTGCCCCCCCCACACACAAACTCACTCTCCTGCTGGTAACAGCCCATCCAAAGTGACCACTCTCTTTACAATGTGTATGATAATCAAGGTGGGCCATTTCCAGCACAAATCCAGGTTTTCTCACCCCCCCCTTTTCCAAAAACCACACACACAAACTCACTCTCCTGCTGGTAATAGTTCAGATCTTCAGCATTTTTAGGAATGCAAATAAATAACTGGCTACAATATTATATAATCCTATTTCTATTTCAGATAACCCAAGATTTCAGAACGTGGCTGCCTAAAACTGGTACCAAGGCCAAGATGTTCAAAAGTGACTAGCAATTTGGGAACCATTTTTACATGCCCAATTTGAGATTTTAAGGGGGGGCCTGATTATCAGAAAGTGATGCACACACACCCTCTGAAAATCCCTTTATGATATGTCAAGTTGGGCACCCAAAAAGTGAAGCATCCAAAATCACTAGTCACTTTTGAAAATCTTGGCCCTAGATCTTTTGTTAGAAACCTAAAGGAATGGCCTGTTTTTCAGAAATGCTGAGAAATAATGTGACGTAGAATATGAAGATGCTGCATCAGTTGCAACCAACTGACAAAAAACTGTGGTAGGTGAGTAACAGTCAGTCCAATGAAGAACCTCTGAGTGATGCTGGATTGGACAATAATCCCTCGCAGATTCAAATACTGAGGTTGGTGGGAGACAGACCAAGAGTGAGACTGAGGGTCAAGCTGTTGTTAATCTTCATTTGCAAAGCTCAGTGGATTTCTATTCAAACTGTTTGGCATAATGGGTGGGAAAGATGCTAAAGCGTTCTTCACCCTGCCGTCAGTGGGCTAAGAGTATTTGGTGTGGATGAATGAATATAGAAAAGAAGCAATTATCTTGCAACGGCTGGTCCAATGAACTTTCCAAAAATATAAACATAATGAATTGCAAGTGCAAAAAAATAACAAATATTTTCCAAGAAACAAATCTGTTAATTTGGCTGTGTTCACCCACCAACACACTCTCTCTCTTAGACACAGTCACATTCTCACACTCACAAACATATGCTCTCTCTCGCACATATATAGACACTCACAATCTACAAATGTGTAATTATACATTATTGATAACTAAACTCTCCTTTAGATCAATTACTGACTGCTCATATGTATAGCTTTATTCACGTGCATAAACATTTATAAGATCAGGACCTTAGTTACTGAATCAAATCAGATACAAGATAATTACTGGAGTTGTAAAGAATCTTATAATGGAGAAAAAAAATTCTAAGCAGAGATTACAGAAAAGCCTCATCTGCACAAAATAATAGCTAATAACATTTTTTTTAAATGTTAATGAATAAAAGTGGTTAGGATATTAATGATCTGCCTTTCATTTCACAGGTCATTTAATTATGGGTCAGGGGGGTAATTGCCCCATTTTTTGTAGGCTTTTAATGCTTGCAAGTTAATACTTGACTTGGAATAGTCCAACAGGTGCTTTTTGCTTAGCTATGGAACTTTGATATTTAGTAGGATTTTATGAAAATTGCTGTGCATGCATAACAGCTGTTTTTCAGTTAAATATCCTCATAGAAGTTTCTCTGGCTCCCGTTATAATAATCCTCATTTCATTATAACAATTAAAACGGTTGGCTGCTAAGAATATCTTATAAAATAATAATAATGCAAAAGTCTTTTCAGCCATAGATGTCAAAGCACTTTACAAAGAACATAAATATGATCCTCATTTTACCAATCGGAAAACTGAGGAACAGAGAAGTAAAATGACAGGCTGGTGACAGAGCTGGGAACATTACTCAGGTCTTTTGAGTCATAGGGCAGTGCCTTATCCACTGGACCACACTTTCTCCGAAAATAGAGAGAAATCAGTGTAATTTAGCTGTTTTTCATGCAGTGTCAGTTATCTACCTGCACTAAGGACTAAGGCCAGACCTTAGGCCAGACAAAGGTACTTGGATGCCTGAAGATGCATTTAGTCACCTAATAGGAGTTTTAAAAATGCCTATGTGCCTAACTCCCACAGTTTGGCGTGTAGGTGCTTTTAGCACTTTTTCAAGCACTAAATACCTTTGAAAACCTGGTCCTAAGGCTCTCATCCTAGTCTCATTGAAGTCAAAGGCAAAACTATCATTGACTTCAGTAGGAGCAAATGAGGCTCTGAGGTTCTATATGTACAATGTGCTGAGTACCCTCAAGCTCTGTTGACTTCTATGGCACTTGGTATTTCACAAGATTGAACCCCAAGGTCACCATTTCCAAAAGTGACCGCTGACTTTGAGTGTTGTGCTTTGGACACATTGGACTTGATTTTCAGTACTGAAATTTTTGGGAGTGCAGGAACTCAGCTCTGTAAATCAAGGCTAAAATGTCCCCAGTTATGGATCCATTACATGCTTCTGCGCACTTAAACCACTAGTCTCATTGACTTCAATAGGATGAGTAAATAAGTGTTCACTAGGGTGAGTAAGGACTCCTCACTTGGTCCAGTTTTACTGGGTACTTCTGAACATTTGGCTTGTAAGTATCAGCAATTTTTCATTTTGCATGGGGAAGTAGAGTTTAAGGGTTATGTACTAAAGTATATATCTGAATAAAATGGTTGAGGTATAATTCTCTAAAAAATTAGGTTTGTAACAAAACTGTAATTGTTCCTTTACTAAAATAGCCAGAACAAGGAAATAATGAACACCAGGGAATAAGGAGTTACAGAAGAAATCTCAAAAACAGAACAATTTGTTTTTCTTTACTACATTAATCTGTTTGGAGATATGTATCTGTAGTGCTCACATGAAAAAGTTTGGCTGGGGCTGCTTGCTGCTCCTGGCATCATTAGTTACAGGTCTGCCAAGGTTTTACTTAAGGGCCAAATGTTTTTCAATAGAGTTATCCTCTCTCCATATAGAGTGGACAAATAGGGTGAGGTGGGAAGGGGAGGCTTTATTTTTTTCTGTGGATGGACCATTCAAATCTTGTTACAAGCCTGAAAATCAGTGGTTGGATGACTGATTCTCTAATGTGCAGCCTAAGCAGCAAAATGGCTGAAAACATTAATCTTCCTTTTCACTGGCTTACTGGCAAGGTTGTGTAACAAATGATTCTAATAACATTTTGTACCTGTGGCTTGTAACTCCTATCCTCTGGAAGAAACGGTTACGATGCTAATCTGGGAGAGGAAACTCAGGTAGGAGTGGTTTGCATACCTGAAGATATATTACTCAAAGTTCATTTTGAATTTTTAATGATTGTGGGTTTTTTACGTAATTGGTCAGGCAGTACCAAATGCCAAGCTGAGGAAGAATATTAAAGATGACTGTATGCCTGTACCATCAAGACTCAATTTGGTTGTTTCAAGTCCAGAATTTAGGTTTAATAGTATTTACCCTCACAGTGTAAGGTCCGAGTCCTGAAAACACTTATGCTTTTGTTTAACTTTAAGCAAGCAAGTAATCTCTCTGACTCTAGCCTGGACTACTCACTTGTTTAAAGTTAGGAAGCAACTAACTTTGCTTCCTAACTTTGAGTGTTTGCAGGATCAGGGACTAAAAGACTAAATAACCTGTTGCAAAAATACATTGTGGTCAGAAGATGGGAGAAATTAATAATGTATTACAATAATTGCCTTTGTGCATTAACTTGCTTTTGTGTTGTATACACATTTTGGTTATAGACAAATATGTGTCACATTTGTCATGGTGTACAACATGGTATAATTTTGTGTTGACAATATTTCTCAGGGTGACTGGCAAATTATGTTGTTCATTAAACTATGATTAACCCACTGCTTGATCACTCTATCTACTTTTTGTTTATTAGTACACTGTTCTAACTGTACTGGCCAGATTCTGAAACACTCATTCGTGTTGAGTAAGACCTTGCTCTGCAAGTAGCCCAAAAGAAACAAACAGGGCAACATGTGATGTAAGGTGCTATTCAGACCTCTGTGTTAGTGATGATCACAGTGTGTGTTTAATGGCCTGCTTTCTTTGGGGGAAGGTGGAAATACTGTAGAAGGGGAGGTGTCTAAGTGAGTCACTGCATCAGACAGGGTCAGATGGCTACCTGTACCATAATGTGCCATTCTTTTCTCTTGCCACCCTCCCTTTCTTTTTGGAAATAGCCCTTAATCATACATGTACAGCATGTACCAGTATTATCCACTTTGATTTACACTTTGGATGCAGTTAATGGACAGGATTGATTGTCCATGAATGAACTGGTTTCCTGGCTCTAATCTAATATAGACATCCTTATAGATTAATTGGGGAGAGTCCTGAGGGACTAGGGTGGGAAGGGACATACATTGTGTCAAAGCTGCGGTTCAAGGTGAACAGTGCTGCACTGTAATGTACTTAGCAAGTGATAATGGAAACCACAGGAAACCATAAGAGAGCAGATGGGGACAGACATATGCCTGGGGCCTGGGGAATTGTTGGGAGGGTTGGAGCAGGGAGGCTGAACATTTTGAATTTGGAGAGTGTGGGTGGCCGGAGGGTGTGCCGGCGGAGGAGGGGTGGGGGTATTTCTTGATCTCAAACATCTTCTTTCCCTCCCCCCAGATCATGTTGCTACAGCTCGGGAGGGTCCCGCCAGCAGGGGGAGGGCGCCAGTCCCAGGCAGGGAGGGTAACATTTGACTGACGGACGTAATCCTCCCCCGCAGCGGAGAGCTTTTGATCCGCCGGATGGGGGCGCTGGCGGCGGGGTTCCCGAGCCGAGTGTTGCTTGGCCGTGCGAGCGGCCGTCCCCCTCCCCGGAGATTTTCCCCGGGTGAGGGCGCTCGGGGTTACCGGCTCGTCACCGGCTCCCGGGGCCGGCGCGGCACGCTGAGCTGGGAAGGCAGCGGGCGAGGGAAGCAGCCACGCGAATCTCTCTGTATCCGGCTTCGGGCAGAGGCGGCGACCATAGCGCGGAGGGAGCGGGAAGGGAGGGGAAGCGGCGGGAGGTGCCGCCTGCCGGGCTGTGGAGGTGTGTGTGTCTGCTGGGGACAGGGGTGGGGGGCTGCTGGGGGTGGGGGGCTGCTTGGGGCCGGGCACACGAGCGGGGTGCGTGGCTGGGATCAGCAGGGGGCGAAGAGGGGAGGCAGTTGGCGGCCCCGCCTCTGGCGCCCTCCCCCGGGGAGGTGGGCAGGGTAACGGTTCCAGGGTGGCTGCGCTGGGGCGCCACGAACTAACGTGTGAAACGTTCAGGGGGCCGGGGGGGGCAGAGGAGGCGGGTCTGCTCTTCTTTAATAGTGTGTGTGTGTGTGTGGGGGGGGTTCCTCTGGCTCCTGATTTGATCTGGACTCACTCTTTGTGTCGGGTCTTTTTTTGTCGTGTGAGGGACACGCTTTGCTGCTAAGCCCGCCCCTCGGCCAGGTCTATATTGTTTTGGTTTTTAGTTTCCCCCTGTAAGTTTGTGTGTCCCCCTTGTGGAAGCACCGATTTTCCCCCCATGTAATGTAGCAGCCTGACTGCTGTAGTTCCTCCAAAAATATTAAGTAGTGAGTAATAGCAGAGGCAGGGTTTATTCCCCCCCCCCCCGCCCCCGGTCCCCCAGCTGTACTTCGCATCGATTTTTGTCCCCATGCACCTCCTGTGGTGTGTGGCACCTTTCCACCCTCCATTGCTGTGTGTGTTGTGTTGTCTTTCAGGCAGATCTCATGCAGCCTCCCTCTCCCTGTACTGCGTGTGGTGTGTTGTATCTGTCTTTCCCCCCCGCCCCTTTAGGCTCATGTGAAGCGAGAGACTGTCACGTTTCATTTTTTTCCTTTCCCAGGTGCTGAAAAGGAGGGCTGCAGCAGCTCCCAGCAGCAGGCTCGAGGACATTTCCCCCTCACCCCTACAGGAGCGTTACAATTTCAGCTGCCAAATCTGTGGAGGAGAGAGACTTTCGCACAACCGCCCCCCCCTCCCAATCTTAAATATACAAAAAGCGGAAGAGGAGCCAGCAGCAGGGGAAGGGGGTGGAGGGGAACGGCAATATTGTTGCAGCTATAGTGGCCGAGGCTGATGGCGGAGTTTGGCAGCAGGGGTGCTGCTACTGGTAGCACCAGGGGCGGGGGGCTTCCCTCGTCCCCGGGTCCTGTCCAGGGGCAGGTGGCTTTCAAGGCAGGAGATGGGGAAGGCGGAGGAGACGACGGCGGCGGCGGCAGATCCTATGTTGACAGTGCAGGCGGCGGGGTCTCCAATGGGGACTGCGCTCTGGTCGGAGAGGAGACGGGATCAGCCCAGCCCGGCGGCAAGAGAGGATGTTCCACTATACAACAGAGGGAAAGCAAATCCGGCATCCCCCGGAGGAGCAGTATCATCAAGGTAAGAGGGCTTGCCCCGCCCCACCGCAGGGATTTCTTCTTGCTTGGGCGGGAAGAGATGGGGGTGGGGGGTTGTCTGGGTCACATAGTCCAGTCTCCGCTGAAAGGATGTGTTGAATTTGGCGGGGGTGACTTGATCTGCCATTGTACATAGTGGACAATTGGGGCGGGGGAGCCTTATGCACAGGGTATTATTGATCTTGGAGGGCTCCTAGCCCAGAGCAGGTGGAAGGGAAGGCAGAGCCTGGTTGGCTACTAGCAAGGCAACAAATATGAACATCACTGAAAGCCGTGAATGACAGGATCCCTGCTTATTATCTGTGATGATGGGTGCACCTGTGCAGAGAAAATTTTGTGGCTCCATTGGGGAGGTTAGAGGGAGACACACACATAGGTGATGGGAAAATCAGGCGTTAACTGGACTGGGGGTCGGAGAAGGCAAAATATGAAGGCTTCCTCCTTAAAGGGATCAGTGCATCTAGTAATAGATTATGTTGTACTTTACTTAGCAGCAACCTTTTGGCTACTGTTACCTGTATGTAGATTTCAGCTGCTAATGTTTAACATGAACAGACAAGGGCAGGTTTTACATTATGTAACTCATTGGAGGAAGGGATGCAAGATTTCTGACAATAACCATTTATGTAAGTACAGATATTCCCCTTCCTTAAACCCCAGGCCCTTAAGAGGTGACAATTTGTCTTGGGTTAATTATCTTTCATAGCTCCAGCAGATAGGCCTAAAGAGCTTTTAAAAAATCTTACAAAAAGAAAGCAAGTTTTTTAAATTAAAAGTACATTAGAGGTGAGTTTCACAGACCGAAATAAATAACTCTTTTTTGTCTTCCTGTTACATTATTGCATGTGTCCAAAATTGTGTGTGCTGAAATGAGAATGTGTATTTTTGCTAGATGGGCAATCGTGAAGTATATCAGGAAAAGTTAGCCCAGTGGTGTGTATCAAGTTGTGCTGTATGAGACTGCAGGACCTTGGTTTGAGAGCCAAGGAGAGGACAAGGACAGCCAGTGGTGGAACACGGTTGACAGCAGTGTACCCACCCTTCCTGTCAGAGTGATGATGCTGGGTGTGGTGGAACAATAAACAAGAGGCAGTTGAACATTGTGTTTTCATAATTTAATATCCATAAGATATTACTCTTTAATATTCATTAGACCTGCCAAAAATCTTTTGATACAAGATCAGTGTTAATTTCTACCCTTGTTGTCATCCTCTCTGGTAGTCCAAAAAAAGATAGTGCTGTGTGCTCTATGTAACACGTGGTTGTGATATTAATTTTCAGTGTATCCTCTTTTATACAGCAAGCTTATATGTTTGTAAGGTCTAAACAAGTATACAAAGTTTCAAGGTACAATATAATAAAACTAAAGAGTACAAATGTGGAAATATTAAAGTGATCTTTTCACGTATAGTATTGTCTCTTAAACACGCACATCATCTTTAACTCTAAAGGTCTTCTATTTCTCTAGAAATTTCTTAAGCAATGATGTCTGAAAGTTGCTAATTAATAATTCTCAATTTTATAAATTTGAACACTGATGTATTTTATCTTAGTACTGATTAATATTTTACTTTGTAGTTTAGATAAGTAGGATGAAAAATTCCAGTGAACACCAATAATTTTTGAAATCATTTTGGCCATATTTCTTTTAGACTTGGGTACCTTAAATTAGGTACCTAACTGAAAATGGCTTGACTTCCGGAGTTGCTGAGTGCCCTTCCTCCCATTGACTTCTATAGAATTCAAAGGTGCTTTGAAGATCCTGTAGATGCTTACCTTTAGGAGCCAGTCTGACAATTTAAGTAGCAATATTTAGTTTTATCTTAACATTCCACATCTGACACTTGTGCACCTAGTACTACATAGCATAAATCAAGATACACGTCTTTTCACTGTCAGAATCTAGTTTATAAAACTTTTTTTTGGAATTTAAGTGGTTTATTTTTATATGATGGGCTAAACTCTACCCTTTCCAATGAAAATGGGTGTTAATATGAAATCTCATCGAAACTCCTGTGTGCTACAAGAAGTGCAGTTTTCTTACCCTTTACAATCTGTTTGAATCACGGAACTATGTTAGTGGATCCGGCAGGTAGTGAAGACATACCCTAAGAATGGTAGTAGTAATTAGATGTAAACTGATGTAACACCTGGTCAGTGTTTCAAGACACCTTGTTTTGCATGCTAAATATTGTCTGGGCTCCTGAGTTATAAACAACAAATTGTTTGCAGTGTTGTTGTAGCTGTGTTGGTCCCAGAATATGAGAGAGACAACAGCAAATTTATATTAAAACAATAGTCTCAGTTAATATTATATTCTTTGGAAGTGCACGTGTATAGGAAAATCAGGATCCCAAAAAATATTTTACTCCAAAAGACTGCATGGTAGTGATTTACAATCCTTTCTTTGAACCTTCATTGGTAATAGGTAGGCACACAAGTGCACCCCACTTCCATTAATCCCATATCTCTGAACTGTTTTTGCATTTTCTTATCTTCCATCTTTCCCGTTTGTTTTGTGTTTTTCCACCCTTCTGTATTTAATAATTTTTTGCTCTTGGTTTTTCTTTTTGTACCCATTTCACTGTTGGCTCTTCTTTCTCTCTCATGGGATAGCTGTTTGCTTCTTGGGTCTGAAGTATTCATAGAAGCTTGATGTGCTCAAGTGGCTGAGCTAAGGTTTACAGAAAAACAGAAGATGACCTTGAAGTGAGGGCTGCTGCTTGAGCTTCCAGCCCTGAGCATGGGAGTGGTACCCATGGCCAAGTGTATTAAAGGATGGTGCGGGAACAAGTAAAGATGGATTGTGTTCAGTGAAGTGTGCTGCTTTACTTGCATATATTGGAGCAGATATGGGCCTTGAGTGGATCGGTGTTCATGAAGCTATTCTCTCCTCTACTGTTCCTTTCCTCTGTACCGTGCCATCCTCCCAGAGTGGGAAATGTTATACTAGGGATTATTCCAGGAAATATCATTGTACCTTGTTTGTGTGTCTTGCAGGAGTGTCCTGTAGTTTAGATATCCAACTCCTGAACTTCAGTGGTTTACTAGTGCATGATGGGAGAATGAAAAATGTTAGCAATATTCCAGAATACTCAGCTTGGTATTACTACTAGCTAAGGTTTCCTATATAATTGCCTTTAATATAAGAATTCCTTAGTACAGTATAAAATTCCTATTCCTGTTGCAGGTGAAGTTGCCCTCGCTCTATGATCTTTTCCCTTTCATTACTTTAATCTACAGCTGGCTAATTTTTATAGCTCAATAATAGGCTTGTAACTAGGCAGTTGGAATGTAGCTCCCTCAATCAAGCTGCTCCTGGGCCAGACTTTTTCAGGTTTCTGCCTTTCTCCTAGCCAGTATATGGTGTCTCATCGATCAGGATTGTCAGATAATACAAGTAAATCTCTCGCCTGAAGACCTAGAAGCTGCTTCATAATTTTCTGAGGTTCCCTATGTGGGTCTGTCTGTCTGTACTCTTATTTCCAGTAAACCCAGTAAGCTATGGGAAAGGATGAACAGCAGGAGTATTATTTCTGTTCATGTGCCTTCTCTTCCCCTTCAGTTCAATGATAGGGCATAATTCCTATCACTAAATTATAAAAGTGGCAATGAGCATATAACTTTTTTGTTAGACTCTCCATGAAGTTGTATTTATAGCCCACAGGAGTTTCAACATGTTGCATATGTCAGTGATGTGAAAGGCATGTCACTACTTGCTAGCAATGAAGTGACCAGGACACCTCAACATCATTGTTAATTTGTGTTGTGCCTCTCAATTGACAAGACATGCCTTGCTTCTTTCCTGAGATACATGCTACAAAATGATTTAACTTCCTTTCATAATTTGTTAAACATTTATTTATTTTTAACTTGTTTCAATCTATAAGAAGTACTTAATCAGAACATTGAGACGTGCAATATTTTAAAAAACAAACAGCTTTACTAATTGGCACAAAGCTAGCAAGACAGCAGTTAAAGAGAAGCTCTGTGTATCTCTGCCAGGGTCTCTAAACATATTAACAAAATAGTGTGCTGAGTGGCATCAGTCTGTTGATGGATTTAAAAGAATCAGCATGGATACTTTTTTCTCAACTGCCAGGATGAGGAGAAGGTCCAACAAGTACACAGTTATTTTTGTACCATAGCTAGGTCTAAAATGAGACTAGAATTCCCCCCAGGAAATTTGAGGACTTAATGTATTGTATAAATTCATAATATCAATGAGGAGTCCGGTGGCACCTGAAAAACTAACAGATTTATTTGGGCATAAGCTTTCGTGGGAAAAAAAACACTTCTTCAGATGCAAGGAGTGAAAATTACAGATGCAGGCATAAATATACTGACACATGAAGAGAAAGGAGTTACATTACAAGTGGAGAACCAGTGTTGACAGGGCCAATTCAATCAGGGTGGGTGTGGTCCACTCCCAATATTTGATGAGGAGGTGTCAGTATCAAGAGAGGGCAAATTGCTTTTGTAGTAAGCCAGCCACTGCCAGTCCCTATTCAAGCCCAAATTAATGATATTAAATTTACAAATGAATTGTTGCTCTGCAGTTTCTCTTTGAAGTCTGTTTTTGAAGGGATTTTTTGTTGAAGTATGGCTACTTTTAAATCTGTTATAGAATGTCGAGGGAGTTTGAAAGTGTTCTACTGGCTTTTGTATGTTACCATTCCTGATGTCTGATTTGTGTCCATTTATTCTTTTATGTAGAGGCTGTCCGGTTTGGCCAGTGTACATGGCAGAGGGGCATTGCTGGTACATGATGGCATATATCACATTAGTAGATGTGGAAGTGAATGAGCCTCTGATAGTTCACAATAACCTTTTCCAGAAATGAAGGCTTGAGATAAGGCAAGATTGTAATTTCCTGACTAAGGGCCTACCACAGAGGTGGGCAGACTATGGCCCGTGGGCCACATCTAGCCTGTGGGACTGTTCTGCCCGGCCTCTGAGCTCCCAGTCAGCGTGGCTAGCCCC